AGTTTAAGGGTATTAATCAAAAACATCTAAAAAAAAGTGTACTGGACCTAATTTTCCCTTTGTTGTTTAAGATATGCATGAAAAAGATGACCTCGAACAGCCCATAAGACCTTTTTTCTCCTCTTTTTTTAATGAAAAATTCAATGTTTCCAAAAGGAAAGGTTAATTAATGGAACTTCCTTTCAACTTTCCGACATTATGTTGTCTTCATTTACCTAATAATATGGAACGCATTGAAAATATTTTATTTTTTTCACATAGAAATCTTGTAACGATTCCATTGTTTTGACACAAACTTTTTAAAATTGAATCCTTCTATGAGTACATGAGTTTTTTACAGAAAACATACAGGAATTTGAAATGAAGGGAAATGATTGAAAGATTGGATGAGGGAAAATACACACACGAACAAGATTGATGCATTTCAAAATTCTGGCAAAAATTCATGTACTTAAAGAATTTTTCTTTTAAATTTTTAAGGGTGCAAGTTAAAGATTAGAGCCTATATCTTTTTTTCTTAATTTTAACCATACATTCTTCAAAATATCTCTATTTCAAAATATATTTTCCCCAAAAATTGGACGTCGAACAGCATGTAGAAGGCAAAATTAATATTTGGAGTAAATGAATATGTGCCCTAGTTTCCCTACTCAAACGTTCACCTTATAGGATTGGATTTTTTTTATTCAAAATGTAATCATCAATTCTATCAAAATTTAATTGAATTGTTGATGTAGCGGAAACTTATTGAAAAAAATAAAACCTCACAAAAATTCAAATTTATTGATTTGAAAGATCAAATACCAAAAAAGAGAGAATTATTTTGAGAAACTTCTCAAGACTCTTTATTTAATTCATAATTCAACTGAATTTAAAAATTAATTACGACACATATTTAAAGCAGTAAATAAAATGTCGATAATAACTAATTTTTAGATAAAGACTAATTCTAAATAACAATAAGAATTAAAGATAAAATCAAACTCTAAACGGAATTGAAGTTTTATCTAATTAAATTAAGAAAATTATCCAGAATAACGAAAAACGTATTTTTAGAGCCCCAACGATGGAATTGGACCGAAACAAGCTCTACATCATGGGCAAAGCCGATGAGTTTTGCTCACTGGGCCATTTTCACTCAAATAGACACAAACATTTTCAAAAACGCTTCAAAATTTTTATTTTTCCAACCCGATTCCACTTTTCCATGAACTCTTCTTCTTTTTGTATCGTATCAATCCTCCAAAAAAAGCTACACTAAATACTAAATAGACATTCACAAAGAAAAATCATCCATAAATTTCTTAAGAGTTTCAATTTTATTTTATTAATAATTCATATTTGCATTTTACAAAAAATATATGAAAATATCGAAATATAAGAACGCATTAAGCACTATTGCTCTCGGACTATTAGGTTACATAAAGAATGCTGCGTATATAGAAGTAGTAATATAAACCAGTAAGCCAGAACCTACGAACACAACCAATGTTACGACGGCATATACAGGTTCTTCTCCACAAGAAAGTACACCCAATTTCACCTGAACGAACTCCACAATCTAAAGCATCAGAAACACACATCCCATGATAGATCCAATGGCGGAGCCAAACAGTGTGTATTTGTGGAAAGATGAGTCGATATCAGCATTGTGAGGGTCGCTTGCATCTAAACTGTTCCACAAGTTGATTGCCAGCTTCAGACTTTGTGCTATGAGGGAGAAAGAGAGAAAGAAACTGAACGAAATCACTTCAAAAACGATAAGTCTCCTGATTGCGTTGATGCTGGGGTTGCATGATTCTGGATTCCCGGCGCTGCCCGCGGCAAGTACAGTTAGGGAGAACCCTATGAAGGTTGCCATGGTGAAGAGTGAGTTGACGTTTACTATGCCGTCGAGGGCTGTTACGTGGACGCTTGTCTTGGACCTTCCCGTGGTGGCAGTGGCGGAGGTGGTAGTGATGACGATGGGGTTTTGTGTATCTATTGAAGCGTTTGATTGGGACTCAATTCTGTTCAAACAACAAAAGGAATTAGATGTTGAAAACAAGATTTAAATGAACGCATATAGAGGCAATCTCTTTATAAAACGAAGTTTTTAGACAATGATTAAGGACATGTTTGATACGATTCCTTCAACTTCTCGTAGAATATAAAAACTTTTCTAGATAACAAAAAATTATCTGAACATATTTGAAATTAGAAACTTCTTAACTTTAGAAATAACTTTCAACTTTTCAAAACTCATGTCAAACGAGCTCTATCATCAAATCATATATAGTGTGTGTTTAGTAGATATTAAAATCGAAATTAAAATTGAAAAATTAGCTGTTATTGTCGAATTATAAAGAGAGGAGAGGGGTACCCATCAATTGTCGGGGAAGGGGGCGCCGATGCTACAATATACGAGTTATTTTTGGAGTTCCTTGGAGAGAGGCTATGTCTTGACAACATTTTGTTACAAGATTGGGTTAAGAGATACTTGTAATTTGTAATGAAGGCATATATTGATACTTATTTATAGACTTGAGCAAACCAATAACGTCTTTTTCATCAATGCTTTAATTTGTTTAATAATATATGTTTCATTTAACATTGTATTATTGTCTGAACACTGGAACCTCGCCAGAGTTGAATACTTCGACACATTCCAAGCATTATAGGGTGAATTTTGTTGGGGATATGCCATTCTTGAAAATGGTGAAAAATGCATTTGAGGGAGTTGCTTTGGTTAACCATTGTTGTGAGTATGAACTAGTCTACAAAATAACACATCCATTATATAAAGTTCTGAGTTCATCTTTGACAAAGCTTAAATTATAACTTAGCTCATCAAACATACGTTTTATGTAGATATTTTATAGAATCTACAAGTTACTATCCCTTTAAACGCTATCAAATGAGCACTTTAATATAACCAAAACTCATGTTGGAAGTCGAGCCGAGCCCAAGATATTGAAGTAAGGAAATTTGTTGTTTTACCCTTTCAACTCCAACAGCACATGCAAATTTGGTGCATTCAACTTGTAATTTAATATATGCGAATGACAAATTTTAAAGTAATTACTACATAGTGGGGTTGTACCTAATGTAGGGCTAGCAGCCATTAATTTGTTTTCAAGTTCATCTGAGGCGGCCGGCTAAAATCACATGGATCCGCAAGCAACACGCAATGAATACGTATTTAATGCTGCCACGTGACTTGTCGAGTTTTTTAAGTATTATCATAGAATTGAGAATATTGAGTAAATCGCTCTCCCTCGATGACACTGGAAACGTGGGATAGAATTTAGAGGTACCACAAGCACTCGCATTCGATGAGTAACTTGTCACTGAAAGAAACTTACTAAAGGATAAGACATGTCCCAAGTATCAAACTCGTTGCTGGAAGGAATTCACCGAAGCAATTAATAAGAGTGAAGAACAAGAAGAAATCCTTCTTCTCAACAAGTTGAAGACTTAACATTAATTTATCTTAGTTCATTGTCTTCAAGGCTTACAAGAGTGTGTAGTACTCGGAAAAACCCTTCAAGCGTCGACTTTTTAAAGCATTCTTCTATGTACTTTTTTCGAGATCAAATTAAATGAAAAGATTTAAAATCTAAGTAGTTAGAATTTCGGTATTACCCGAATTCTATCGAGAATTTAATTTAGAGTTCTATTGGAAGTTGGTAGTATGACTTGAACAAGTTTTGAAAAAGTCCAACATGGATAAGGAGAATGATTCGCAATTTTGACAATTTTTCTCTCATATTCCAATTCAAACAATCCGTTATTGATATTACATATTGTATTAGGGCTCCCTTATATTAGATTATTCATTGTATTATATTCTCCTAATTTGTTAGGAATTCTTTATTATAATATGTAATGTACAACACATATTGAGATTAATCAGTTGTCTAACTTATTCGTTTGATTATTGTGAATTCTGTCTCTGCGCATTATTTTTCCCTTAAATCTTGTGTTCTTGTGATTATTTATTCTCGTATTGCCTATATTGTGTTCTTGTGATTGTTTATTTTCATATATTACCTATATCTCGTCTTTAATTCCTAACATAAGCAATAAATGCATACAGACAGGCTACAGCTGCCAAAGAAATTAAAGTCTTCTCTCTTAGAAAATAAAAATATCACAACCTGTATTCTCGGTAGAATGGGGCAATGGGCAGTTGGACATTAATTATACCATAAAGCTAAACGTACTACAATTTTTTCCCGAATGGTTTATTTCCGGCTGAGTTGGCACTCTAAGTCAAAAATAACGGTAGCTTGGGGAGAGAAATCACGTGATATCCTGACATTTCCCTGCCTCCTGACATTTCCCTGCCTTTTTAACCCACTAAACACCCCACCCGCCCCTGCTATCACCTCGTCCCACCCCTTTATATATAAATAATTTTCTTTATTCATGTCTCTATTTTCGAGGTCATTACGGGACGTCAAACGAAGTCAAAATATTACATTTTTAATATTATATCGAAGTACTCACGACCTAGTTTCACACATCTCTAACGGCGTGCGAAACGGCCAACCGTAGCAAAAGTTAGCACTCGTCGAAATAAGACGTTTCAAAATATGTAAATGATTTTTCTTAATTTTGTCTCTATTTTCGAGGTCATTACGGGA